GAATAGGGAAAAAATAAGCACCAAGAAAGATTATGTAAAGGTGCAAATTTCCAATGATGAATGTCATTATATTGTATACCTAAAATGTACCAATAAAATTTAAAAAAAAAAGAAATTGTAACTGCCAATACCTTTCCCTATCTTGTAGAGATCTCCTGACTTCTTCAAAAAGCATTTGTTTTCTTCCTTTGTATGATACAAATGTAATTAATTAAATTAAGCAGTAGTCTTTTGAGAGGGATAAATAGTCATGGGCAAAAGCATTTATAGGGTAGGACCCGGAGGCAGCTGTTGTTCTTTTCTCTGTCTGTCCTCTTGTTAAAATCTGTGCATTATTTTGCAGGGAGCCATGTCAGTGGATTCCATCACTGATCTGGATGACAACCATTCTCGACTGCTGGAAGCTTTACAGCTCTCCTTGCCTGCTGAGTCGCCAAACAAAAAAGAAAAGGCCAGAGATAAAAAACTCAGTCTGAATCCTATTTACAGACAGGTCCCCAGGCTGGTGGACAGCTGCTGTCAGTATCTGGAAAAACATGGTACGTAGATTTGTGTCTCAACTATCCAGTCAAGAATCACTCCTTTTAGCACCCAATTTCACTTCTGTGTTCCTTTGATTGGGCTTTGGACTAAAATTTCCTTTGTAAAGAAAGTGTACAGAAGTGTTTGCTTAAGAGATTACTGAGCTCAGCAAGATTGTTGGAGGGCAGGGAATCAGTTTGATGGTATTTGTATTGCTCAGCCCCCAAGGGTCCTCAGAAGTGACCCTGGCCAAGCAGTTTAGGAAAGGGTCACTTCTATCGGGTTGGATCTATGCCCACGGCCTCCTTCAACCAGACCAGTCACTTATATCTTTTTCATACATTGAGGTTTCTACAGTGTTTCCTTTAAAAATAAGAGCCTACCTTCTTTTAAGAAGGATTTGAAAATCATTGTTTAAGTGAATAGATGATATATCATTTTTAAAACAAACTTACATATGACTATTTGTAGTTTCATAGAAGATGTTCACTTAAAATTTCTCCAAGTCACCCCTTTGTAACTCAATTCTAGTCAATATCTTAATTTTAAAATCATGGACAATTCTTCATATTTTTGGACTCATCAAACTGCCGTGCTCTAAATTTGTTTGCCGTAGTGTTAGTATGCATTTTATGGACATAGGAAAAGTTTCTCAAATGCTTCTTTACTCTAAAAGTAATACACTTATTGTGATAAAAAAAAAATTGAAAAACTAAAACCCAAAGAAAATTCTGAGGCTACCATACAGACATGATTACTGTTAATATTTCCATCTATTTCTTTGTAATAAATTTCTAAATTTCTAATCATCTTGTTATATATGGAAATCACTGATAATAGAGTGACAATAAAATTGATATATTTAATCCCAATTTGTTTATACAAAATTTTAAGTGTAGTAGGTTCTTTCATTTTCTTTAGCTTATTTTTCATATATCTATACTATGTATATATATATATATATACACACACACACATATGGAGGGGAGAGAGAGAGAGAGAGAGAGAGAGAGAGAGAGAGAGGGATTTGGACCAAAGTTTTCTTCCAAGGCCTGATTCTATTCCAGGCTTTCATAGTATTTTGACCAGATGGCTCCAGAAAAATTAGAGACACATTCAAATTCAAGCAAATATTCTAACATTGGTTGCTTTAAACCAATGGAAAAAGAGCAAATGTCAAAAGCATTTCTTTCATAAGACTTTATTTGCTTGTTTTTAAAATGGGAAGCAGAGGACAGCAATCACTTTAATCTTATAAACATTTGTCAGTGATGTTTTTTACCCTCTCTAAAATTGGTCTTGGACAATTATATTAGTCTCATCTATATTCTGTACCCAACACTTCCTCACTTGTATTTCAATCAAATGCTTTCTATACAATTAGGTCAAAACTGCTTAAGCATCTTCAACTGCCTAAAATTTCCATTTCCAAAAACCACTTCCATTTCCAAAAACCAGACAAAAATACTTGTATAACAGAGAGGCAAATTATATTATGCTTCTGGGATTTAGGCTGATTTGGTGGTGGAGCTGATTGCTCATTGTGCCTGCCCTGGTTTCTTGAAGTTCCTAAGCCTGATATTGAGGTGCTTTTGGGTCCGGTTTCCATTTTAGTTTCTGATAAAAAGGAAGAAAGATGATCACATCAATTTCTGGGACAGCACACAGCAAAATCCCATTTCTTTTTTCAGATTGTTGCCTTTTCAGTGTCCACCTGTCTTTATCAGTGACTGTCTTAAGTCATGATTAGTGAATGCCTAGACTGTATCTTGTCTTTGAGGAAAATCACTGTAGAGCTATGTCAGAAAAAGGCATTAGCTGTCTAAAGATTCTCATTTGTTCTCCCTTAAAGAATTAAATTAAATTTTAAAACCTTGAAATAGAGTATATAGACAATTGAAGTGCAAAGGAATTATAGCAATTAATATCTACTTATTAACAAGCTATTTTTAAATCACACTTTTACTGAGCTAGAAAAGTACTGTAATTGATGAAATAATGTCATAGAACTGGGCATTTCTAAACAGCCTAGAGAAATTCAGCCAAATCAATAGTCTCACTTGTATAGAAAATCCCCCTATGTGATATCTCACTTCTGTAGAAATTCTAAATATTCAGAAACCATCTTAGAATAAGAAAGTAGGAAGCTAAATTTGAAATTGCTCAGACCTCCTAATATATTAAAAATTTCTACCTTTCCCATAGGAGACTCATTCAGTTCATTCGGGGCTTTTTTCTTGCTATATAATAGGATATGCCAGATACTATTCTAAGTATTCTTTATGCATTAGTTAATTGAATCATTGCAGAAATTTGGAAGGGTACTTCTCACGTTTATTTTAAGATAAGGCAGTATAACTATGTATCTTATTCTAAATAGTGTGGTGTCCCTGTTCTTGAGTTTCCAGAGAGGTAGAAGCAATAAATTAGGCTGAGGATTTGTCCGTAACAAAGAGGAGACAGAAGTCCTTTGAAAACAAAATCCCACTCAAGTACAAACTACAAATATGTGCTGTTTTGCAAATCAACAGTAACTAGCTTCTTACTGCAATTCTCTCAAATTATTCTGGATATTCAGGATAACACGTTAAAGTGCAGTACTGATAAATGGGATATTTATTCATATCATCTTTTCTAACTAAACCCCCTGGAAAGCCAACCAAAATTGTTACTTTGGCAAGACTATACAACAAACATACAAAAATCTATTAACAATGTAAAAGCAATGATCAGCTACTTACTATAATAATGAAATCATTCATGTGAGTATCAGAAATATACACCCAGAAAGTTTGTAATGATATGCAAGACTCTACTTAAACAAATTGATGCTTACTCTGCTTTTGGATGGAAAAAATAATGTTATAAAGATTTAAATTCTGTCCAAATTAATATATATTGTACTATTCAGAAGGTTTGGGGTGGCAGATGAAAGGGACTCAGATAAAATAAGATTAAGCAAAATGCCCTCTCCCTAGAAAAACCAACAATCCTTATTTATATACTGGGAGTCTGATCTATATGCAGGCACGGCTGAATCAAAGACTCAGAGGACGTCATGAGCATTCTCTGTTTTCTGGCTTCATTCTCAGGCCAGTGACTTGGTGTGGCTCCAAATGGCCCTTGGAAGTGCCAATCTGGCATCATTCTCCTAAGTGATTATCCCAAGGGAGTGGAAAATGAGCTGCCACCAATGAAATAAACGTGGATGAAGCACATTAGTTTTGATAGTTAATGGCTGCCAAAGAAAAAGGACATTTGGACATTGTGAGGCCCCCAAAACTCTTGCATTCTTACCCACCTGAACCAGAGAAAACTCTGGCTTTAACTTTCGGCTTATAGGAAATCAGGGGAGAAAGGAGGATCTAAATGACACCATAGAGTGTCAAAAGTCCAGATGGTGGGAAGATGGAAAGTGGGAAGTCAATGGTTTTTTTCTGTACTGAGGATTGAACCTTGGGACTTCACCCTGACCTATAACCCCAGCCCGTTTTACATTTTCTATTTTGAGACAGAGTCTCACAAAGCTGCCCAGACTGGGCTCAAACTTGTGATCCTCCCACATGTTATTTCTTAATCAAACAAGTTATTGTGTAGGAGGAAAAATAGAAGGAGAGGAGAGAGATAGATTAAGAGACTAAAAGGCATATTGATCATATCACATTTGTGAGCCTTATGTGGACATTGACTAGAAATTTAATGCTATTAGAGATCTAGAAAGTTCTAATGTGTGGTAGTGATGTTGCTTGTTAAAGCGATCTAACTTTTTAGAGCACTGTTGATGTTTTAGGTCAGATAATTCTTTTTGTGTATTCATTAACCCTCTAATTCCACATCTAGAATATTACCCTAAGACAGTAAGACATGTGATCAAAGGCATCTACACAGAATCATTCAGAGTAGAACCATTTCTAATAGCAAAATAAACTTGTGTGTTTTGGGGGGACTTATATGCCATTCAGAGGGGTAAGTGGAGGAAATTGTGTCTCATTCATACAACAGAGTATTTTGTATCCATTTTCAATGACAATTATGGGAAATCTTTACAGACATAAAAATTCTTATGACCTAATATTGAAATAAAGCATTAACATTCTCCCTGTTAACAGACAGATAGATAAAGATATTTGTATGTAGTATGATCTCAAGTCAGTATAGATTTTTTCATGGAGAAAAGGCTGAATAGAAATAAATCAAAATTTTAAGTAATTATTTAGACATCAAGTCTGTTTTAAAGTATTATTTTACATTTTCTTTATTTTATAGACTTTCTTTAAGAAGTGTGTTTTAATTATGATCAGACAAATAAGAAATATCTATTTTTAAATTAATAAAGAGCTCAGCTCCCTATAAGATTCATGTTTTTGTAATTACTCCAAATTGTGAAAATGTTTTATTTTGTATGGAGTTGTGGAAAGGCATAATATCATATGGAGATTTTTTTGTAGAAATGTTTAATAAAATAATTTTGGTGCTCAAAGAACTAACATTCATAAATAGTGTGGAATGAAGAAGAATTACCATATGCTGTTAGTTAATATTGCTCTACATGTCAGCTCTGCACTAGCATTCTGCTCTATTTCTATTTTGATTTCTTCCGGAGTCTCAAGCCATAAAATAAAGCTCTTGATTTTATTTGCTCATTTTCAGGCCTCCAGACAGTGGGGATATTCCGAGTGGGAAGCTCAAAAAAGAGAGTGAGACAAGTAAGTGAAAAATGAAGATTATATTGTCCATTTCACTTCATGCTTAACGGAATTACCATGGGAAAACTTCAAGCTGATGCAAATTCCCTTCTGAATATCTGTACCCTCCAACCGAATATAGTAGAACTGAATGCCAGGATATGAAGCCGCACAACTCAGAAGCTCAGAAAAGGTGTTAGAGAGTTAGGACCAAATGATTGAGAGAAAATGTCTGCAAGTGTCTGTGTCATTTTCAGCCAAAGAGAACACTTTTATAAACATCTTACTGGGTCTGTTAAAGGTGAAGATTCAGAAAGTACCTAATCAATAAGTTACAATAAATAGAAAGCCATTGTATACCACCTATTTTCACTAAAGTTTGATATGAAAATGCCATTAACATTATCATCACATAAGGTGCTAAGTTTAACCCTTTACTTTCTTTTTTTAAAATTAACTGTATTGATACACTTCTGATATACATAATGATCACATTCATCTTTGGAAATTTGTATCTGTACATAATATATCCTGATTCTTCTTTTCTCCTCATTCTCCTTCCCTCCCTTCAGCCCTTCTTCCCCTCCCTATTTATAAAAGCTTTGTTTCCGTTTTTCCCCTCTAGTCTCTTTTTTTTCTTTTCCTTTCCTTCTCCTTCTGCCTTGCTTCCCTTCCCATTCGAACATTTTCTTTTTACTTCCCAATATCTGTCATCCATTTTGTTTCTTATTTACCCTTTGGGTTTCTCACACAAGAGAAATAATGCAATATTTACACGTGTGTCCTCATTTCAGTCAAATGCATGGTCTCAAGGTGCATCCATTTTCCTCAAAATGTCTCAAGTTTATCTTTTTATGGCAGAGTAGTACTCCATTGTATATAAAAACTACATTTTCTTTATGCATTCATCCATTGATGGACATTTGGGCTGTTTCTAAGACTTAGCTATTACAAATTGTGCTGCTATAAACATGGGTGTGTGCATATCACTGTGGTATGATGCTTCTAATTCTTTTGGGAAAATACTAAGAAAAGGAATAGCTCGGTCAAATGAAACCTCTAGTTTAATTTTTTTTGAGGTATCTCCATTCTGATTTCCATATTGGTTGTACCGACTTACACTCCCACCAACAGGGGAGAAAGTTTCCTTTTTCCCCACAGCCTCACCATATGCCTTTACTTTCTCAAAAATAAACAATTATTAAGTTTCCATGGAGCCATTGATCCCCAATTCAACTTTCATGAGAAAAGTATACTCTTTGGTTTTGTTACAACATTCTCACAACAATAGTTTGATATTAGACCATCAGGAATAGGTTCCTGTGATCGGACAAGTGTCTGTGTTCATGATGGCTTCATAAAAGGTAAATCATCTTCTAAAATGAAGTCATTTGTTGGTCAAAGAAAATTAAAATACTGTTTTCACTCTGTTGCTCCCATCAAAAGGACATAAAGGACTCAGCAATTCAAAAATAAAGCCAAGTGAAAATAAATTTTAGTTGGATGAAGCTAAAGAAATTATATTTGTTCATATTAATTTAAAGTAATTGAAATAAATGCTCTCTCATGTATTTCTTTTGTCAAGCCAAAAGGAACTTTCAAAAGAAGAATGTTTTCTGCTTGGTTTTTAATATAAATGCTCACACAAGAGACTATTAAATATCTAACATTTTACAACAGGACTTGCAAGAAGGAAGATAGTAGAGCAATGTTTCTCAGGCCCCTACCTGTAGAATAGTACAGAATGTTTTCCAAAAGATCATTTCATTGACTCTGCCCACCAGCTATGCATGTAGCTCCCTTCATCCCCTGCTTTCAAGGCTTAGAGAAATTTAGGAATTTAATTCCAGATGACACAATTTAACCAGTCACTGTGACTTCGTAGGCAAAGCTGTTTCCATGGTCCAGCCCATTCTTTCTGCATGTGTGTGTGCTCAGAAAAGAAACATGGTGTATCTGAGTAATCACAGATGGAGTGGCACTGGTGGAAGAAGGCCTCTTCATTCTGCCTGCCAGACACATGCTTGTGGCAAGTTGTCTGGAATCAATGAGCGGTTCGGGGCAGTGATAGGGATTTTAATCAGGTGGGCAGCTGGCAAGTACCAGAAAATATTCATCACTTACGTCTGGTTCCACCAAAGGAAAAAAATCTTTGCATAGAGATTTATTCAAAGGTTACCCAATAAAATTATAATTAGTGGTTACTCAGAGCTAGATTCCAAGTATGAAATATATTCTAATTCACTCACCATTTTAATGGTGTCACTTTGTAGCACCCTGTACTTTTTCTTCAGGAACACTAATCAAAACTTTAAGAGCTAATCATTTGTAAGATCACCTGATTATCACCTCATCTCTCTACTTGTCTGAGAGACGGAGGAGGGTAGGGACTTTGACTACCCTCTTTGCCTTTCTTTCTGTACTTCAAAGGCCTGGAATAGAGCTTGGTTCACAGAAAAATGCAGTAAATCTTTGTGGAATAAATGGACAAATGAATGATTGAACAAATGAACTATTATAGAAGTTGATGGCACAGTTTAAATTCACAGACTTTTATTGCTATTTCTACAACAGAGAGCTATGCATAAGAATAGTTGAGCCATCAGCGGTGAAAGCAGGATGTGGAGTTATTGCTCTTTTATTGCTACTGTGTTTTCCTGTGGCTTTAAATGTTAATGGACTGAGTTATGATTAAGGCAGGGAATCCTGGTAATTGTTCATAAGACTACTTTGACAAATCCAAGAGAGCTTTTATTTATATATTGTCATCTTGTAAGCCTCAGTCATGAATATCTTCTCAGGATTTTTAGTTTAATTATTTGCAGAATAATATCCTTGCTTTCTTGTTACATTAGTAGACTATCAAAATCCCAATGTGGTAGGACTGGTGGTATAGAGAACTCTATGTTAATAGACTGACTCCTCCCTCCCACATTCACTGGAATTCTGCTCTGCTCCTTGCCTTTTTTTCCAACCTTCCCATTGACCTTTTTGAGCCCTTCTGATTATATCATTAATAGCAAATCCACTGATAGTTTTATGATAGATATCATAGCTGAGTTGTGCAGACTCTGCAGATCAAGACGACATGTTGTTTGTTGAAGCTTAATACTAAGTGTCACGATCAAAACATTTATCTTAGTGACCACTTAATATTGAGGTGTGGTGTTGTCAAGTGACTGCCCCTTGACCCGTTATTGTTGCAGCTCCGTGAGGAATTTGACCGTGGGACTGATGTCTCTCTGGAAGAGGAGCACAGTGTTCATGATGTGGCAGCCTTGTTGAAGGAGTTCCTGAGGGACATGCCCGACCCCCTTCTCACCAGGGAGCTGTACACAGCTTTCATCAACACTCTCCGTATGTACTACAGCCATATTTAGGGGAAGTGACTTGGAAGTGCCAGGATGTCCAGCTCACTCATCAAAACTTTGTGCACGTGCTTTCTGACAACTGTTTTTGTCCTTAGTTATCGGTCTCTAATGAATGGGCTATTTGGGGAATTTTCTGAGATTTACTCTGGGGAGAATTAGCAAGAAGAAACCTGCAATAAAACAAACGGAAATGGACAAGAAAAATTTGGGACGCTTTCAAATGACCCCCAGGACAATAGAAAGTGCTGTAAATTGATGATTTGGAGTACCAGCGAGAGTTCTTGTTGAGTCTGTGCCTAAATATGAATTGGTGTTTCTGGCACGAGGAAGTCCAGAACTCAGAATGAGAACTCAGAATGAGAAAAATGTGGGTGGGTGGGTGGGTGGGGTCAGGCAGCATTTCAGGAGAAGCAAGATGTCATAGCCAAGAGCCAGGACTTTCAGCATAGCTACTTCTGAGGTATACATAGATACCCAATGGAGGAGGAACGGAGAGTGGGGGACAGAAGGATAGGCCAGAGCTGAGTCAGTCTGCATACACTTCCTCCTCCAGTGCTGTAATTTCCATGAGGTCACACCTGAGAGAAAAGACATTGTCTTTGTGACATGCCTTGAGTATTACCAATGAAAAATTTCCTTGTTTATTGCTCAACAGAAAAGGGCCTCAAATCCATTGTAAACTCAAATTTTAGAGTATCATCTACCAATTCTCAGCCATATCTTTACCAACAAGTGACTGAAATCCAGAAAGTCTGCATGAGAAATGCCAGAGAAAGGACAGAGAAGAAAATAAAGAGAGTGGAGTTACCTTTCTCATAATTTCTCTAGGTGATACATTTCTCCAAGTCCGAGAGCCTTGTGACTAAGTTGTTACAGTGATGAGGAAATGGATGAAGGCAGGAGATTGCACTTGCCTTGGTAACCTCTTTCTTAAAACAGCGGGGAGGAGCCTTTCCTCCTTTACGCCTGAATGGCCCCAGCTCCCTTTACTCTTACTTAGAACGCCTCTTTCTGCCTTGCACAGTGTTGGAGCCGGAGGAACAGCTGGGCACCTTGAAGCTTCTCATTTACCTTCTACCTTCCTGCAACTGCGACACTCTTCACCGTCTCCTACAGTTCCTCTCCATCGTGGCCAGTCATGCCGATGACAGCGTAGGTGAAGATGGGCAAGAGGTAGGACCCATTTGCTGCTGTAGACTCTGTGACTCTCCCTCTCTCTCATTTTCAAAGGCGCAGGGCATCAATGTGACCAAATAGTTCAGCTGGAGAATATGACACCACACCATCTCTGTCCTATCTATTTGGGAAGAGCCTGCTCTAAGGGGCCAGTTCCTAATGGCACATAGGCCATTATCCTTCGTGCATGTTTCAAGGATGCTTGCAAATGAGGTTGTCATTTTCCACAGTGATCCTTTAATGAAGACCTTGAATTCCATTTATGAAAAGACAGACAATGAGCTATAGAGCCACTTGTTCTTATATAAAAGCACAGTAGTGGAGGTGAGAAGAGGTTACTGTCCTTGATACTGTTTTGATCTGTTTAATGTGGAGCCCAAATATGACATTTCCTCTAGTCTTCCAATTTCTCCCTGGAGCTCTCATCTGCACTATACCAAGAAATCCAGTATTGCCTGTTAGAAGGGTTCTTTCTCTCTGTAAACTTTCCCTCCAAAATAGAGACTTGCTGAATGCAACAGGGGTCCTTCCTGCTTCCAAGCCAGATGTGGAAGGGACTGGAAGGTCTGATCTTTGCTATTGCATCTTTTTTTTTCCTTGGTGGTACTGAGGATGGAACCCAGGACTTCACATATGCTAGAAGAGTGCTCTACCACTGAGCTACATTCCCAGACCTTTTGACATGGCATTTAGATGATAAATGGTGTTAAATGATAAGGCAGGTCCAACACAGTCCTGTGGATCCTTTAGCATATTCTAGTTCAACCAGGTCCCAACTCAGGCCCCTGTGTGATAACCCCACCCCAGTAATCTGAGGTCTTAGGCACTGGTTCTCTTTGATCAGCACTAGTGCTTCATTTTTAAACAAATGAGATGCTGGCCCCCATTTTAAGTGGTCTACCAGAAGACACTCTATTTAGTCTTCCCCTTCACCAGAGACCTCTTCCCCTTTGATCACAGGGAGTCACACTTCTCCCTGACATTGGATTTCCCAGAAGGTCTCAAATTCTTTAATATGCTAACATGCCTGGAAATCAATAAGGGGCCAGAAGCATTCACGACTTACTCAGCCAAAGGAATTTAAATCTCTGGTAAGCAGAGCTCAGCTGTATCATGTATTCAGTTCTGTGCTTATCAAATTTAGTTCCCAAAGGACATATCCATATATATATATATA